ATGACGAAATGTTTTTCAAACGAACAAAACTCGCAGCAGCGGCTATGCGATGTGATATACATATATATATACTCAGTCGTATGTATAAATGTTAAATGAATCGTGCGGCATGAGGGACTTACAGAGCGGCGAATGGGGTGCATGCGGGTGGAGCGTGGGGAGCGTGGGGAGCGTGGGGAGAGGGTCTGAGACAATGAAGTCCATCCGACATGTGGACAACAAATTTACGTTTGAGTGAACTTTTTTTTTGTGTTGTTTGTATCTTCCGCTAAACCGGACAGGGCTATATATACATATGTACATATATGTATATGTATGTATATTCGAAAGCGACGATGCCGCCGCCGCCGCCGGAAGTTCAAAAGGTGACAATGGAGACAACCAGAAAGGCAATATCAAGAAGGGGGTTCCCCGACAATGGCCGGCTGGATACAGGGTACTGCCGCAAAGCACGAGGGTATCATGCTTACGCAGAGATCTCTCTTAGAAAATGAGAAGGAAAATAAAAATACTAGCCGCGTGCATCGAAAATGAATACACAGATTAAGTGGGTTGAATATAAAAAGTCTATTTGCTGCACCATTTTGTAATCGTGTATAAAAACCTGGCCAATGTCTGCTGATCTAACGAACATAATTTTGAATATATCCAAGTTTGCCATAGTCGTGGTGGGGGAAAGGCACTCCCACAGCATTCCTACATACTTGATTTCGTTTGGCAAACTCCATCGCCAGCTGAGAGTCGTAGAATCTTGATTCTCAGAAGCACAAATGTCGAAAGGTTACGAGTCTGCAAGGTATCAAAAATACTACCACAATAGGCCCCATAAAGATGTCTCTCTCACACACACACGAACACAGCGTGCACTGAGAGCTACAAAATATCTTTGGTTCACATTTAAATCCGTAATTTCAATTCGACTTGTCGTGTTTACACACACAATGCATAATTTATAGAAATTTGTCTGCAAAGCGCAGCAGCAGCAGCAGCAGAGGCAAAAGCAGAGGCAGAAGCAGCGGCAGAGGCAGTGGCAGCAAACAAAGCAGAGATAGCCAGAGATGGTGAGTAAGAGAGAGTGGGTGAGTGGGAGAGAGTGGCGAGCTCATGTAACGTTAAGTATAGGGACGCTTGGCGTGCGCACAGTGCAAGCGAAAAGTTACTGGACTTGGCCTTGGGCTTCGAATGGAATAAATAAACTAAAATACGAGCAGCATATAAAATAAAGGTTTTATTTTGGGAATTCTTTTGAGTGAACAAAAAGTATAATTAGGAATATATAAAACTGAAATTAAAGTTAAAGCAAAAATAGCAAAAAGTGCAATAAATAAATTGCTTTCCATGTGCTTGAAATATTTTTGTTTGTAATATTTATTGGCAAAATGTAATAAATATTTGTAAAATTTATACAAATTTAATTGGTGTAGATATACTTTTTGCAAGCAGTGTGCATCCAATAGGAGGGGAGGCAGAGTCCGTGCACTGGCACGCTTCGCGTCTCTTTCCCCCTTCAAGTGTCGCAAATGGCCAGCAACTGACTGCCCTGCCCCTCTTCCTCACACACACTGTACCATGCTCTATGTGTTGTATGTGTTGTGTGTGTGTGTGCTCTTTCTCCCTCTCTCTCCTCTGGTCCTTCTCTTTGCCATCCAACACCCCAGCGATTTCACAGCTGTTGTTGTTATTGGTTGCTTTTGAAGCTTCTGTAGTGGAGCGCCGGTTGAAAGGGGGTTTGCTGGGTGGGTGGATAGGGTGACGGTGAGGTGAGTGCCTATACATGTGTGATGGCATGTCCGTGTCTATGTGTGTGTGTGTGAGTGCCTTGGTGTGTCGTCTCTGTATTTGTTTGTGTAAACTCAACGAAGCTTAAAAGCTTTGTTTGCACCAGTTTAGTCCATGAAACGAACGACTTGAATATTTGCAGCCTATAGGGTATCTGTCTGTGCGAGTGATTTCCCTGCCTTCCTGCCGAAATTGTAAACAACTGTTTAATAATAAAATATAGTAAGATAAGAACATTAAGGTGTAAATATTTATTCGCTGCTGTTTTTTTTGTTTATTTAAACATTTTCGTTACACGGGGAATTCCCCCTTTTGCAAAATCAACCCCCCCCTTCATGTGGGGTGCCTTCCCCCCTTTCCCACTGAAAAACTATGCCATTCCATTGAGTGCCGTGCCGCGCCCACTTTTCCCCACATCCAAGATGTGCAAGGAAAGCTAAAACGATGCAAAAAAAAGGACCTTATTTTTTTGAGGCAGCCGCATAATCCACTTTTTGAATCAACCCCACAGCGATCCCCTCGCGTGGCATGCCGCACACAGTGCCTTTTGTTGTTGCGAAGAAATATAAAAAATAATTGGAAGTCGCCTCCTGCTGCAACGTTGCTGCTGCTGTGCTGTCGCTCTCTCGTCAGCAACGTCTGCGTCAGCATCAGCATCAGCGTCAGCGTCGCTGTTCACGTTTTGCCTGTTGTTAGCTGCACTCTCTCTTTCTCCCAAGCAGCCTCTCCCTCTCCACCTATCAGCCACCCAGCCAGCCCCCTTCCTTTCCCTGGTTGCAGCCCTGCATCCTATGGTCTGCGGGTGGGCGGCCCAATCTCTTTCGTGCTCCGCCTGCCTGCCGCCTACCGCTGCCTCCTTTCGGTTTCTCTTTTGGATTTGACTTTTGTTTGCTGATGATTAGGAGAAGGAGAAGTGCACAAGGAATGAATATGTGTGTGATAGCATGGGGAGGAGGTGGCGCGGTGGCAGTTGGGGTGCCTTGCCCTATTTGTTTAAGCAATTTCTGGCAAAATAAAACGCTTAAAAGTTGGACTTAATTTTATTCTTTTGCTGTTACTGAAGTCTCCATAAACAGAATAGATTCCTGCCAAAAAATGCCCAACAGTGGAAAAGATTCTAAAATGAACTTAAAACTTTTTTTTAATCCTATATAAATCGAAGTTACATTTTTTTCCACTATTTCTAGTCGGATTTTGCGATTAAGATCTACAAAAATATGTTGAGGATATCCGGAAATGACTCCTTGCTCTCCTCGAATATCCTATGGGTATTTGGGTTGTCATATATTTTGTAATTTATCCAAAAAATATGTCATCAAATGCCATCATCATCTTCATCTACAAATCCTCTGCCTGCCCTGTCATCAGCAGCTTTTGGGATGGTCTGTTAAATTAATAATTTTGATTGCGATTCCCATTGGATACGCCAGCAGGCGGACCTTCCCTTCCTCTCTAATCGTGTTGTTATTCCTCCCTCCCCCCCGTGTCTTATCAACACTTTCTCATCAGCCTTTTCTGTCATCATCAACGTCATCCCCATGCTCATCAGCATCATCATAATCATAATCATAACTATTATTATTAACGACAGAGAAACGAGCCTATTTAGCGTCAACAACAAGCAATGGAAGCTTCTTTGGCTAGGACACACTCTTTCTCTCTCTGTCTTTGCCTCTGTCTCTCTCAAGCCAAGCCCCCTCCTACTGTAAGAAAGAAAAACCCAAATTTCCCAACACAAAACTTTGGCAGGCGATAAAAATTTGTCTACATTAGCTGGAGGGAGTGGGCTAGAGTAGCCCCCGAAAATGTTGCACAGTTTTTGTGTGGCATGTGTCGCACAATCATCCTCCCCGCCCCCTCCCCCCCTGCCAACCCTTGACAACTATCTTTGGGTTATCTGAAGCTTTCGGTTTTCGCTTACCATCTTAACGGTATTTACCATTCGAGGCTATCCTCTCGTCCACCTACGCTCCGTATGGGCTGGGGACCCTTCTGCACCCTTCTTCGAGAGTAGCGGAAGCCCACAGCTTTCGACAATTTGTGGCATGGCTTAAAGTGCTTGGCTTAAGTGCGCATGTCCTGCCTTCTGCCTGGGTTTTTAAGTTATTCCTGCCTGTCTCTGTTAATTGCCCCCATTCTTTGCCCACACTGCCGCACCGCACCGCCACTGCCACTGCCACCTCAGTCGAATCAGGCTTCCTCTCCGCAGATTGAATTAACTGATTTAGCTGCAATTGCTGGTGGCTCTTGTTGGTGCGTTGACATAAACAAACAAAAGTTCACACTAAACAAAATAAATAAATAGAGTGCAAATTTCATTTGATTAAATGCCACCAAAGTTACGATGGCGACGATGTCGCTTAATTGAATATCGTGCAACAGCAACAGCAACAGAAAAAAGATTTCAAGCACCGAAGCTTTATATACCCTCGCACATATATTTCTAAGAAATATATTCCTAAGAAATTACTATAAATTTACAGTCGATCGATCCTGTTACAGATATAGCCTATAGCAGGTGGGCTGGGGGTGCTTTTAATCGGAAAAAAGGTTCATCTAGATAATATATATTAACTAAGAAAATGCTGCAATCTTTGCACTATAAATATTATATCAGCCCCCCCTCCTATGGTCGTGCCACACAGACCCACTGCAGCAGCCATTCTCGGAATATCGGAAATCCACTTGACGACAAGGCAGCTAAGACAATTGCAAGGCTTGACAGACCTTTCTCTCTCTCTCTCTCTCTCTCTCTCTCTCTCTCTCTCTTTATTTCTCCTCTCTCTGCCTCTCTCCTCTGCCCATGTCTTTGTCATTGCATTCAAACTGAATTCAATTAAGTTGATTGCAAATCGTTGCCGTCAAAATGAAAGATACTCGTACACCAATAACAGCAAAAACCAATACAAAAACCAAACCAAAGAGAACCAGAAATGGGTATGGTAAAGTGGGACGGCTACAATCACTTCTGTAGGAGTGGATAGTTCATAAATTCACAGAAATTAAATGTGAATATACATAATATATGTATCTGATAATATGTCAGAGAATTTATCACTCAATTTACCAAATTTATTAAATTTTCGTTTCGAATTTTTTCCAATTTTTAATAGAATATTATTAGTCATTTTTTTAAGGTAATTATAGCTGTATTTTTTTTAAACCTCTTGCTCCATTGCTCTCCCCTTCCTCATTTTGCGTTGGCTGTCATATTTGGGCCAACTCTTTTGGCTAATTGGTGTTGTCGGCGACACTTCCACGGTCATTTATCCATAATGATATTACTATTTTGTATGCGGCTTTTCAAAAATCCAAAATATCAAGAATATTATATACTGTCAATGCTCGTAAATTATTTTAATGAAAAAATGTAGTTACATTTTTTCCGTCACTGTCAATGATTTATTTAGCACTTTTTTGTTGTGTTGCACTTTATGCATGTAAAATATATTAATTAATTTACAAAACATATGCGACGCTTTTATTGCCGCTTGACAACATAGTGACCACAGGAATGTTCAGTTTTCGGTTTCAATTTGCAGCTGCAGCCACACGGCGTATGGGCAATGTGGCAGCAAATTTACGACAAAATTCTGTTGGTGAAGACACCAGGCTCCAAACAAATGAAGGGATTAACTATAGCAGCGAAACGGTTAGACATTAAGATTGGATATAAAATCGTTTGAAAACGGCTATGGACTGAAATTAATTTCAATAATTCCCATCTTGTCAATCCCCCTCTGGTCCATACCACTATGCAGTTTTCGCAGTTCGTTTCGCTACTTTTCGTTTCGCACACACAATTTGCTCAAACTTTTTGGTAATTGTACTTCTAATTGCTTGATTACAGCTTTAATTGCTTGTTCTAAAAACACTCGCTGTTAATTTTGCAGCTGTTATTTAACAGGCCACAGAAAGAGAAAGAGAGAGAGAGAACGAGTCGTTTAGTCAGTCCGTTAGTCGGAGTTTTGTTTTGCCTGTATTTGTGATTGTTTTCTTTCTGTTGTTTTGATTTTCTCTTTCTTTGCTTTCCTCTACTCACCCACCCACTCTCTCTCTGGAGTTGGTTTTGTCTGGTGTCCTAGCACCCCACAAAGTATATTGAGCCAAAGGTCAGGTCCCATTCTCGTTCGCTCGTTTATTGTGAACATTAGAACACAGTGAAAACCCACTCCATCAAACTACCCTACCTTCAGCCTAATATACCTTGTGCCCCAACATTTCGTGCTATCTCTCTCTCTCTCTCTCCGTTCTCTCTCAATGACGAGACCGAGAACCTTTGTAAATTTTAATGGCAAATCTGCTGCCATTTGCGGCACATTTCGCGTACAATTTTCATTTTTGTTGTGCCCACATATTTATTTTCATGGCTTGCCCTAGGTTGTCGGTCGAGGGGATGTGTGGTGGGTAGATGGGCGGTGGGGCGTCTGTACGAAGTATTTCCAGTGGGCGAGGGAGGCGCACTTTACATTTGTTTTGTTTATTTTGACGTGAGAGAGCTTGAAGAAAGACGCATAAAGCCCGTGAGAGAGAGAGAGAGAGAGAGAGGGAGTGTGTATGAAAGAGGGTGTACGTACCGGCAAGAGAGTGAGTGAGGTGTGCGAGTGTGGAATGGCTCTCTCTCTCTCCTTATTGTGGCTGCTGGTGTTGCTGGCATGGCATGCCATTTCCCGTTATCAGTGGCAGACTTTCTGCCAACCTGCTGTCGCTCGGCATCGGCGTCGCTGCGCACGGCTCTGTCCGCGCTCAACGATGACGCCAGATACAGTGGGTGCGCGAAAATTGTAAAATCTCTGCGGAAATATTTTATCTCTTGTAAATACCCGTTTCATCTTAACTGTACTCTTGCAATAGTTCGACTGCCTTTTGATTTCTGCCTGCTTTTGGATGAACCGTAGCCACTGTGCCTCTCAGCAGCGGCTAATTTTGGATTTTCTAAGCGAACAGCGTGAATTATTTTTAGCTCTGCTGTGCGTCGTCGGCGTCGTCGTCGTCGTCTACTGCGACGTCAGAGAGCAGCGACTGCGGCAGCAGCGTCATTGGGAGCAGGCAGCGGCAGCCAGACACATGCAGATTTTTGCAATTGTTTGCCTTATTTGACTATGCTAACTATTGCTTGTTGTTGCTGGCTGTATTTTTAGACCGTTGATTTATCATTCGAACTGCGTTTACGCAGCATTTGTTGCTAATCGGCATTCCATCTGACTCTATATATCCCTTTCTCTCTCTCTCGTTGCAGGTGAGTTCGGGCACTATTTGGTCGCGTAAAAATGCATACTGTGCAGATGGAACCGTAAGTAAATACGAAAATGAATCGATGAGGACTAAAGATAAGTTAGAACCCAGAGAGCAGCGCGTCTCCAAATGGACAGCTTATGGCTATAGCAAACGTTTCGCATTGGATTCAAATTGCAATAAAATCGAAAGCTCACATTTGACACGGTTTTTATTCCACAACACACATTTGCAGGCCGTGCAAACAGTTTCAGTCATTTTAATAGTTTCATAATTTTTTCATTTTGGAGTTAATCAACACGCATTTTCTTTATCAGAAAAAAAAACTAGAAGCTACAAAATTTTTGCAAGTTTAAAAAAAAACCGCTGTAATTTTTTTCTAGCTTCATGATTGAAAAATCTGTATCACGTAATTTTAGTGATATTATTATGACTGTTACTGTACACATGCACAGGCACGGATTTAGAATTGTGTCACCGCGTAAGCAAATCCAATCTGAATGAGTGTGGCGATATTAAGAGCCAAGCCGAGCAGTCACTGTTGTCCCACTTGCACTCCCTGCTCTCTTTCCAGCCTGCAGTTGGTGTTCCGTTCGGTCAGCTGCGCTGCAGTATATGGCACTCTACACTCTCCCCTCCCCACCGCTCAACACTAGACTGCACTTCACTCCAATCATTTCCACTCCTTGCATTTGCTAGTGCTTCTTCTTAGTCTCATTATTCCCATTTCATTTGCATTTGTGGATGTATTCTCTCAGCTTTCTCGCTGGGGAAGTGTTTACATTTTGCGTTTGAATTATCGTTGTTTTTTCTATGCTACTCTTTGATTTTTTATTCTCTGGTTTATTCTGCTGTTGTTGCTGTATCTGCCATACTTATTTAAAGCTAATTTTAGTATTTAGTTTGCATTTCAATTCAATTTTTCCAAATGGGAATGAGGGAACTGCTTGTTTTGGGCTTGATAGGGAACTGTACTTTTCAAATACATGCATGCATACATTACATTTCCAATCGTGTTGTTGTCATTTTTGGGAAAGAAGAACAAATTATATTCTCGCACACAAATTTGTAATGTTTTGCATTGAAACTTTTAAGGCATTTCAAGTATTTATGGGGTTTCCATGTGAGTATGTATGCATTTGATGTACTGATTTATTGATGCATACATACATATGTACGTATGTATGCAGGCGAATGGAAAAGTTTACCGACTGTATAAAACCTCGGAGTAAAAAGCATCGGGTAACAGAAGCTTAAGGGGCTATTGGAAAGATCTGGTCTGCCTCACAGCTAAAAGTTCGTTTCAAACGGTTAAAGCCTGCTTCTGCCCGACGATCTCTCTCGTCTCTACCGGCTCTCACTCTCTTTCTCTCGCTGCACTGCCTTCGAGCTTTTTGTTGTCGCAATTGAAACGCAGTTTCGGGCCAGCCATCACCACCACAAGCAACAACAACAGTAAAATAACAGCAGCAGAAATACTGAGCCATGCGAAATCCCTTGAAGCGTTTCAATTACATTTGTGTGTGTGTGTGTGTGTGTGTGTGCTCGTGTGTTGGTTTCGGTTTGTTTGATTTGGCTTGCTCCCGTGGTGTATTTAGCAAGGTGGGGGGGCACTCTCGCGATTTTTAAGAATTACACAAACGTTTCGAGAACTCTCTCTCGCTATCTCGACTAGAAAAGAGTAGAGCGGGAATCCATCCTCACCTTACAGATAGATACACCTTGGACTTGCTCACCTTCGGCTCAACGACAGCGAAGCGAAGCGACAACGGGCTGAGGCTGAGACTGAGACTGTGACTGAGACTGAGGCTCGTGCTGTTACATTTGAATGAGCAACGTCGACGTTGACGTCGGAGTCGGACTTGGAATTGGAGTTTGAGCTTCTGCTGCTGGTGCTGCTGCTGCTGGGGGAGAAGGAGGAGGTAGAGTGGCAGTCCGGAGATGTAGCCTGTAGTCATTTATCACTCGCCTCTAACTCTCTCTCTGTGTCTCTGTCTCTCTCACTGCTGGCCTTCTGCTCCTTTGCCTTGGCCCATAAATATCATATTAAAGATTTGCCTTAGAATCGTCCCTTGCGCTGACGTCGACGCTGACGTTGCGCGTTTGCATTAGCGCCAAATGTTGTCTGTTTAGCTCTCGCTGCTAGTTATTGCCGGCTGCTCATAGGTGTGAGTGTGTGTGTGTGGTTGCGGGGGAGGATGAGTGAGTGGGTGGTTGGTATGTGGCCCCTGTTTCGGTGGTTGCTAAACTTTTGTGGCATTGCCAGTTGATTGGATTGCCATGAGATGAACTGTGTGTGTGTGTGTGTGTGGCATGTGATTTATGGGTCCCCCGTGCCGATACGGGATATGCGATAGACATACAATAGATACAATGTCATTAGCGGGACTCCTCCACCGCCATTGCTGTTCTTCCTGCAGAGGGCTTCCCTCGGCAGTGGGGTTCACCGATAGTCCAAGAAAATCGATATATTTTCAATTTAATTTCGATTATTCGTTCACCGCTCAAAAATTACTAAAAAGTATTGACTGAAAATGACAAACCTGCCTAGATCCCATTCTGTACAGGGTGCCTTGCCCCAGTACTCGTTATCCCCAACAGACCCCAGCATTAAAATCGAAAATTGTTCAGTTCCGACAACACAAAACTTTCAACAAAAAAAAAATCTGTTTGTTTTTTTGTTTACGAGAATGCTGAAATTATCGGACCAGATCTTCTCCTGCGGCTTTGAGATCTTCGGCAAAGTGCAGGGTGTACGCTTGCGCAAACAAACGCGCGATCTGGCCACAGTGAACAATGTCCGTGGCTGGGTGATGAACACCGACGAGGGCACGGTCAAGGGCCAGCTGGAGGGCACCCTGTCCAAGGTCAACGAGCTGAAGTTCTGGCTCCTCAACTTTGGCAGTCCGCGCTCCATCATCGAGCGGGCCGAGTTTACGCCCACCAAGGAGATACCGGCACACAACTTTAACGGTTTTACCATACGCTACCACCAGTATCCCATTCAGCGGTCTGACGATCTGTAGAAAAGAAAGGATGAGAAGAGCAAACTAGAGCAATTGTTTCAATGTTTTATATGTATATTTTGATGTGGTAATTGTCTTTTGGGCCTTGAAATTGTGTGGAAAATATATATGAATGTACTTTGTTAGCTGTATTGTATGTAGTTTTGCCACTGCCACATCGAGCATCATTTGTAAACCTCAAAAGTGAAAAACAGGCTGTGCCAGCTGCTAATTAAGCATCACAAAGAAATGCTCAACGCAATTACATACGGGTAGATGTATACCTATATACATACATACATATATACATACATAGATACATATGCATATACTAGATGATGACTAGTAGACTTGGTTAGACAGACACCTGCAGCAGCCGCTGGCTCTCGGGCCTGGCCACATTTCCAGTTGAGCGACGCCCCAAACTGGCAATGAGTTTTTACGACACGGCCAAACAGCGTCGAAGCAACAGAACCAACGGCAACAGCAGAGCAACAAATAAATACAAGCATATGTATATCGTTGGATACACTAACCTGTCACTAAGATTATGGATAAAAAGTCTTTCAAAGAGTCCAATTTTACAATCAAACTTCCCTTTAACTGAATGTGCAGACAGCAGGCAGGACAGGAGGCAGCCAAGACCTGTATATATGTAGGCAAGATTTGTTTGCACTTAATACAAAATTCCATTCCCATCAAGTGTATTAGAACTTCGGATTTGCTAATGGGGGGGGCCCTGCTCTGCCAGTGGCAGTGCCCGTTGCCAGTGTTGTTTTGTTGCCGTTGGTATACACCGCCGAATGCCCTCCATGGTCGCTGATTACGCTGACGCTGGCTTTGGCATAATCACACCAAAATCAAACAAATGTACGTACACCACTAACAGAGACGACAGCGCAACAGCAGCAGTAGTAGCAGCAGCAGCAGCAGCAGCAGAACAACGCAATCGTAACAGAACCACTCTAACAGTGTGCGTGTGCGTGTGTGTGAGTGTGTGCATGTGTGTTGGGAACTTCTTTGCGTGTGTAACAGGCGCCCAGACATTGCAAAAGAGTAAAGAGCGAAAGAGCGACGAGAGCAAAGTAAACATATTCTCATCCGCAGTGTTGTTCCTATTTGTTGCTGTTGCTATTGCGGAATTTTTATAGGTTAAGCTGCAAAGTGTGTGGCAGGATGAGAGGAGGTGGAGGTACAGCGAGCAGAGCTGTGGCCAGAATTGAGGGTTGTTGGTGGTGGGCTCTAACTAGTTTCAGCCGGCCGGTGTCGTTGGCTTGTAACCGAGTGAGAGGAGAGCCAGCGTAACAAAGAGAAAACGCGGACGAGAGAGGAAGGATGGATGGATGGATGGGGGGATGGATGGATGGAGGATGGTGCTACTCGCTCGTTGTCTCTCTCATTCTCGTTCCACTCAATTTTGAGTCAATCCTTGCCCGTGGGCTACTGTTAACGCCTTCTCCTTCAAACAACTTTATCCTGCTCTTCCAAGCTTCAGGCTCTCCAAGCTTCTCGGCCCCTTTCTCCTTTCCTCGCATTCCTTTGCGCATTCCGCCACGCGTCGCTGCCGACGCTGACGTCGCTGCCTGTTTCCGGTGTCACTTCCTTATTTAGTTGTTATACCTGGTACTCTCGTGTTGCACAAAGGGTATTTTGGGTTCATTCAGCGTATGAACTCTATCTATATTCGGTTCGATTTTAAATTCGTTCAAAATCAAAAGCTTTTATTGATTGATTTTTGCAGTCAGATCAGATCTAGGCAGCGCACCAATGCCTTGGGCAACTGTAGGATAGGGTATCTTGTAGTCGGGTATCTTACCATTTTTCTACTTACTTGTTTATATTGTTGTTTTGTTGCTGTTGCTGCCGAAGAGTGGAGTGGTGTTAAGGGGTTGAGGGGCTGAGGTGCTGAGGTGCTGGAGAAAAGCTGTCCAATTTTTGTAAGGGTTTCCATTTTTGTTGGTTTGCGAGTGTACGGAATGGGGAGGACGGGAGTCAAGTGTCCTTGTAGGCTCAACCTAATTTAACAGCCCTCCAAATGGAAGGCAATTCAATTTGCCTGAGAGCCAGCCGCCACAGCCACATCCACATCCAAAAGGAGAGGACAAATGCTCGCATTATGAGCATTAGTATTACTATTAGGATTATTATTAGTCTATTAGTGGCAATCAAATTGATAGCTCAAGTTTTTAGGAGGGGAAAACTTTCATGACGACAAAAATTATTACGACGCCAAGCAAAAAAAAAAAAAATGGAAATTGAAAATGCCGGCAAGCAGTGGAATGGTGGAGGGGCCGGGCCCGGGCCCCGTACAGGTTGGCATCCATCGCTTGGGTCGCGGCATACATAAATGCAAACACTTTGTACAAATATTTGTGTCATTAAACAAATGACAAACGAATTGGTTTCAACATGAAAGCCGAAACGAGCGACAAAGCGAGCGAGCGAGAGCACCGAGAGAGGCAGGCGGCTGACATGCAACATGGTTACAGCAGCAGCAGCAGAGTCGCAGGCTTATCAACAGTCCGCTGTTAAGGCTAACATACACATGCTTGACAGTCACCCCCACACGCAAGCACACACACAGATACACAGGCACACTCAGGCAGAGCGCCCGTCAGCGTCGCTGCAACAATGCAAAACGCAAACTTTCTCGCTGCCGGCGTCGCTGTCGCCGTTGCCGTTGCCGTCGCCGTCGCTGTCGCTCGTTGGGGTCGTGTTCGAGCCGTTTGGGGCTTCGCTGACAGTGGCTCGTGCCAGTACTCAACCGACTGCCAAACGGCGCACGACACCCAAGCAGCAGCCCCAAGCAGCAGCAGCACTAGCAGCAGCAGCAGCAGCAGTGGCAAGTGGCAGTAGAAGCAGTAATAGCCGCAGCACCAGCAAAAGCAAAAGAAAAGCTGTGGGTTTTTTTGTTGTGCGCGTGTAGTTTTCATTGCGGTTCGTTTCCTCAGCGATAAAAAGCAGCAGCAACAATGACAGCACTACCAGCAGCAACAGCAACATTAAGTGGCATCAGGCGCAGGCCAAATACTAAAAAGTGTTAACAAAAAAATGAATTAAAACAGCAACAATACTAAAGAATATTCAAGAATTAAACACATCAACTGAAATATTTAATATTTGTGCTAAAGTACAAAATAAACTTTAAACATTTTCATTTATTTAACAACAAAAAATAGAGTGAAATAAAAAACCATTGGTAAATAAAAATAAAGATGTGTTTGTAAAAATTATGCAAAACAATTGAGAAATCATCCATAAATAACATTAAAAATCTTTTAATAAATATAAAACAAACAAAAAAAATACAAACTTATCGAGGAAAAATGATCACTTCCATGGACAGGGCAAATATTGATTTTAAGCATGATCGGAAAATTACGAATAATTATGATTGAATTATTGTACAGACACAATTCCACAAATGAATGGATAATATTCCGGTGATATAATTATGCAGAATATATATGTACACATACATATATTCCTCTTAAAATATTGTGAGATAAGCTCAGTAATTCTACGAAATTGATATTTTTTGGTGCAACGATCTGTGCGGAGGTTGCGTCCCCATGTATATACATACATATTTATTCAGAATAAGGGAAGAATTATCTGAATTATTTATTTGACATTTGTTTCTTCACTTGTCTTGTCTCCTGGCTCATGTGTGTTTGTGTGAAATTATGCATGGCAAATGCAAATTTATTATGTGCAGACTGTATAAGACTTAAAAACGGCCAGAATTAAGATACATAAATCAAATTTTCTAAATAAATCAACAGGAAAATTGACCAAAAAGTGCCTGTCGCCTGTATCTCTATCTCTATTTCTATCGCTCTATTAAAAACATTAATTACATTAAAGTAAAATAAATGAGGGGAATATAGTACATAGCAAATTCCGTTTTCCTGCTGAAATTCATTCTCCATAACATAGTGAATAAATTAAAATGTATATGTTCAGTGGCCTGCTAAAATATCAAAGCGAACAGTTTTGTTTAATCCGAAAGTGTGCAGAGAAAATCATTTAAATTTCTGTTTGATTTCCCTGCGAGTGTGTGAGTACACTCTATGAGTGAGTGGCTGCTGCTTTGAGGCTTTTGGGGCCAAGAAGTGAGGAGGAGGCCACAGATCCTAGTGAGAAATTGGTCGTTTGTTATGCCCTCACCAAATGTGGGGCATGCTCACAGTGCCATGAAGTAGAACACATTTGCAATTATACTTTATCCATGCATACTCGTTGATTCATTCGGGTGGATTCATTTATTCATTCTCTTCTGTGTGTGTTGGTGGGAACAATTGGATTGACTAGCGGTTAAAAATTATGCAAATTTGTGGGCAAACAGGCAAAGGGAATGCATCTTACGCATACAATTTATCTTGAATGGGTTTAAGGAATAATAAATCCGAAGATTTCCAGAGGTACCTTCTGTTATAGCACTTTTGGAAATGTCTTTCCCAACTGTTAGACATCTACTACTGTATTTATATTTTTTTTTAGTTCATATAATGATCTTCCATTTGCATCTTCATGGGTAAATAAATTTGTTATATACTATTTATCTGTAGAGTAGTCGAATTTCTACCATCTCCGCCTTCAATTATTCGACTATGATGCGAGAAATTGGGAATGGTAAGGGACAACGACAACAGCTACGTATATACGTATAAGAATTTCTCAGGCCCAAGAGCGACAATAGCAATAACAGTAACAATTGGCTGGAACCGAGCAACAAGCCGCAGACAGAAACTCAATTGGAAAATCTGGCTTAGCCCACAGATTGACTCTCTCTCTCTCTCTCAAATTTTTCAAGTTACCCAAAGCTCTTCTCGGACTGCCTTACCTTCTATTTAATATACCCTGTGGTTAGCCTTTTGGCAATGCGGAAATTGTTGCTGCCCTGCTGACACTCTGCCGCTCTCCTCCGACTTTAACGTTTTGGCTTACATTAATCTTACTTTTATTGCAATTGTTGCTGCTGCTGTTGCTGCTGTTACTGTTGTTTAATTAATTTTCGGCCAACATCATTTCCCATTAAATGAGTTGAATAATGATTTATAATTTTCTTCCATATTTCTCATACTCTTGTGGGCGATTGTTTTTTTATTTTTATTTTTTAATAATGTGCACAGCAAATTAATAGCATGGAAAATGTAATGCGAGCTAACGAGGGTATTCGGAGGGGCAGTGTGTGTGTGTGTGTGGTGTGTGTGTGTGAGAGTTTAGTGCAGGGAGTAGACTGCTAAACAAGGCCAAAACATTACGCATACGCCATGTGTGTTCGGTGCAATATGTAGAGTGGGTAAAGAGGAACGAAACGGGTTAAGAAATGGCCAGGAATTAATTGATGGCAGTGGAACAGAAACTGAAACAGCAACACGGACAGGGATTTGGGTGGAGTGGAGGTTCGGCTATGGTATTATGGCTGACACTTGAGCGCTCGTTAAAATGTACATTCTTCATTAATTATTTTGAAATGGCAAGGTGATGGCGAAAGGAGCAGCAAGAAATGGAGATAAGCAGAGAGAGAGAGAGAGATGAAATAGGACGTTTCTTATGGAAATTTCCTACTGTTATCGATTTCTGCAGACGAAACATCTTTCGATATGAGCTGTGCACCTCGATCTACACTCGGTAGTTATCATAATATTGTCGAGCCATCGATAGGAATCAATTGTCGAATTCATACTGGATTCTCTTCAACGATATTTACTATCGGCTTACGCAGCTCTTTTCCCCGGGGGCACCGCCACTCTCTCAGCACTCCACCTGCCCACCTCCACAGTAATCAACAAGCTCATCAACACGAATCCGATTCGAAGGCTTTCCACGAATCATTTGATGTTTTTCTTTCGTTGTTGCTGCTGCTGCTGCTGCTACCGGGGAGACGGAACGGAACGAGACGATTTCCGTTTTGGGTGGTGGTCTTTTTCTGGCGAGTGCTCGTCGCTGGTGGAGTGTTCGAGAGACTGTTGAGTGTTGGGACTCTCGCTTTGGCCACTAATTCGCATTAATCATACGACGCGTTGGACGCTCGCTTTTGTTTGTGGATTGGCATCACGAAAACCGAAAACAAAACACACAAAAAACAGAAACCAGAAACTCAACTGAAATGAAATGAACGGTGGAGCGTCGTCAATGTGGAAAGAAGCTTTTCCACATTTTATTTTTACACGCAAACAAATGTACTGACTGTCTGAGGAAAAGAGAGAGAGAGGAGAGAGAGATGGAGAGCAGAGGAAGCAGCGACGACGTCTTCTTGCTCACGCGCTTTGACTGTTGTTGTTGCTTTATTTTTAATGTGTCAAGGTTCGCGGCATAATTTCTGTTGCTTTATTTCATTTGCGCTTAAAGCAAACAGAAAAAAAAACCACATATATTAAAGAAAGAGCGAGACAGGGATACAAAACAGAGACTGAGAGATAGAGAAACGAGTCATAAGCTGTAAAATGTTTGGCTTTCTTTTTGACTACCAAATAGAACATGAAAATGTCATACAAGAAATTGTTGGGAATTTTACTTGGAAAAGGTAGAAGAAGAAGAACAGGTGTAAAGAATTGATCAATAATCGATATACGCTATATTTAATCGATGAAGCTGCATTCATAACCGAATAATTTCCACATGTCTTGATTTCCATCGCTCTGAGCATATTCAACTTTTCACACCATTATAACTCCTACTATTACCCCCCCCGCCCACATTCTATCCCGCCTCGTTTTCGGTTAGACATACCCTAGACAAGAGACGAGACCCACGAACAAAGTTATCAGACCTGCCCCTAGCCTTCCTCCCCAACGAATCACTAAAAAAGGCACTGAAAAAGAGAAGAGCTCGACGCAGGAGACGGGGACATCGATAAATGTAAATGTGCAGTGTGAAGGAGGTGGAGAGAATTGGAGGTTGGGGGGTTGGGGTTTGGGGCTGTAAAGGGTACAGCTACAGCTATGTTATAGTTATAGGTGAAAGAGATGGCAATAGATTGTTGGGTGGGGGGGGCCAAAGCATTTTTATTACCGCAGTGGAGTCGTAAAAAACTAAATTACTTTTAAGTTTGTAAATTGTGTGAGCTGCTTGAACGAACATTCTCTCCGAGATGTTACGTCTCACTCACTCTGTGATTCTCTCTTCCACTGTGCACAGCTATCTCTTTCACATTTTGCCACTGTTTACTCGCCCACCCAGCGCCCTTACCCTTTACCGCTGTGGTCAACGCAGGTTTGCATTCTTTGTGTCACGTTTCCATCGCTACATAGATGCCAGAACAGAGATACTCACTCGTACAGCAGCCAGCCAGTCAGCTAGCCAGCCGCCAGCCCAGCAAGCAAGAAAAAGATGGGGCTAGATATTTCGAGAGAGAGAGAGACAGAGTGAGAGTGAATGATAGATGGGCAGTGGTGAAGAGGCAGGGAAACAAATTTATGAAACGTCATTTATTCATAATGAGCTTTGGCGAATGGGAAAACTGTTGGCGCGTGTATCGAAGGAAGGGTATGCGAGAGTCTAGTGGGGAGAGGGTTGACTACTGGACACAGAATCTTGTGTGTGTGTGTGTGTGTGCAACGCATTTTGAGTGTTGTAAAGCGTCATAAACTCATTAGAGTTGAATGCTGTGTGTGTGTGTGTGCATTAATGTGAATGCATAATGAATGGGATTCGAATTTGTTATTCATATGGGAGAAGATATATTTTGGGTTATTCATTTCACTCAGCGAGTGTACTCATGAGGGCAACGATTTTGCATTAATTTTTTGCTCTATTTAGGTAATCATTTATGTACATCTGTGAGTGCATTCATGAACAGACCTGAGTTACACAATTCCGGACTTCTTAACACTGTCATAGTGCAGTGTTGCCCCACTTCCTTCCCCGCACACCCCGCCCAGAGACGCGACGAGTGGATGATTTTGTTATTCGATGCATTTCGAAACTTTCCTTGAACTTACATCAGAGTTCTCAGCTTCAGTTGCGGCTGCTGCAACTTCTTTTTCTCTTTTTCTTGTGAGTTCTCCACACTGCGGACGCCCGCCCATACTGCCCAATCGCCTACACACACACACACACGCACACCTTGCGACCTCCCTCACTCACATGTTGATGTTGCTGCGGGGCAGGGAGCAGCGCCTATTCGCGGTTATTTTGTATACATTTTGCATTAATTAAAAGCAGAATAAACAGAAAAAGTCGCGCGCGCGCCTTTTGATGGTCTGGTCGGTCAGTCGGTTGGGGGTAAAGAAAATAAAACTGAAAAGAAAACACATTCTGATTTAAATGTGATTGTTTTTTAGCGTTGCTTGCCACCCCGCCCCCGCCTCCTCCTGCTTCTTTCTTCTCTTATCTTGTTCCGCTCGGAGCATATGAAATGGAAGGCTAAGGCAGTGCCCCGCTCTCTGGGTGAAATCTCTCCATTGCATTCTTCGTACTACACGCAAAAGGCAAAGAGTATTGTGCCTTACCTTCTGCTCGATGTGCCCTGGATCTATCTGCAGACAGAACAGCAGGCAGAACGCAGGCCAGGCAACAAGCGAGCGGCGCACAAGTAAAACAGAAAACAGAACAGAAGCAACAACAAATGTGTCGGCGCCTGCTTCAGCGGGAACCATGCACAAATACAGTTGCCTGTGCTCTTGTTCTTGTTCTTGTTCTCTTTCTTTTTTGTTTTTGCTCGCAGAGAGCTGCGCTGCGGCGACCGAGCCGGCCCCCCTCTGCCACGCCACTGATTAGAAGTGTCTTTGGCTTTTATGTTATTGCTGCTGCTGCTGCTGCTGCTCTAGCCCCTCTCTCGCACCAGCTCGGCCGCTCTTATGCTTATACCCTGTACTCGGGTGTTATGGAATTTGATTTGCCTATATTTTAAGATATTTCCAATAGTAGCTGGCGATATTTATGTTACCGTAACCAAACCAAAAGCAACTACCATTTCGAAGTAGTGGGTATCACCTAGTCGGAATGGTGGACTTAAGTGGATTTAGCTATTGGCGCGGGCTCTGCACTTGCGATTTTCAACAAAATGTCGCTGCTGCTGTCGCTGTCGCTTTTGTTGTAGACTTTCAATAATTTGTGCACGTCTCTGGAAGTGAATTTCTTTTGATTACTTTTGCCAAGTCAGCGCTGCTGTTGTTGTTGCTATTGTTGTCGAGCTTTTGTCCAGAGTGTTAATCGAATTGTGGCTCTCGAAAAAAACCTACATACATACATATGTGTGTGTGTACATGCAAAACGAGTGTATCTGAATAATTTCTTTATTGTGTGTGTGTGTGTGTGTGTGTGCTGCAGCTGAGAAAATCAAATTACAATCGAAAGAACAAAAGACAAGAATCTGTAAACTGTAAAGAAAACCAAAAACAAAAACCAAAAACGAATAAAACAACAACAAAAAATTCAAAAGCCCAATGCGCCCACGAAGCAAACGCAACAAAATGCAAAACAGTCGACATTGCTATCCAACACTGTCGACGCCCTTGCCCAACACCACCAGCACTGTACGACATTGTATGTACTGTCGTCAGGCTAAAGCCTAAAATCTCTCCACGAACCACTCGGATCGAATCTTTAAGAACGCGCCACTCAAAACTCAAAACTCAAACTCCAATCTTAGCTGCTATACATCGGCGTATATACATAAATCTATAACGAAGCGTGTCCAAATATCGCCACTGACTGTGAATGTCTAACTTACTCAATACTAAACTGAACTTTGCCTAAACCCAACGAAAAAACCATAAACGAACTATCTATGAATATTTGGGTAAGCGTTGTGCAACTAACTGAATATAAATAATATAAAGCCAGCCAATTTCGGAAATATATTTAAATTTATATAGCCAAAGTTTTATTTTTAAGGGAGTCCGTCCGTCGTATATCTATATCTATCCGCTTACTTTATTAACAGAAGTTTTCACAGCAATAGCATGTGAATAAACCTTTAAAATATATTTCGGAAAATCGAAAAGCATTTCTATTAATTTTATTATTTATTTATTTATTTATTAACAATTATCAACGAGCCTAACTCATCCATTTTCTATGTCTCTCTCGTCCCTTTTTAATTACCGTTTTTAGCAACAAAAATTCCTTAAACGACCAGCGGAGGATGTTGACAATGGCGCCGAGAACTTTGAGCCGCCGCATAAGTTGCCCAACAACAACAACAACAATAGCAACAGCAACAACAACAACGGCTCGAATGCCAACAACAATGGGAACAACAACGGCAACAGTGGCAGCAACAACACCGGCAACAGCGGCAACAGCAACAACAACGGCTCTGAGAATCTAACCAAATTCTCAGTGGAAATCGTCCAACAGCTGGAGTTCACGACCTCTGCGGCCAATTCGCAGCCGCAGCAGATTAGCACGAATGTCACAGTGAAGGCCCTGACCAACACCTCAGTGAAGAGCGAACCAGGTGTGGGCGGCGGCGGTGGTGGTGGTGGCGGTGGTGGTGGAAACGGAGGAGGTGGCAACAACGGAAGCGATCAGCAGCAGCAGCAGCAACATCATCCGCAGCAACAGCAACACCAACAACACCAACAGCAGCAGCAGCACCAACAACACCAACAACACCAGCACCAACAAGGCAGCGGACTGGGTGGCCTCGGCAATAATGGGCGTGGCGGGGGTCCTGGCGGAATGGCCCAGGGACCCGGCGGTGGCGGACTCGGTGGCCTTGGAGTCGGCGTCGGAATGGGCATGGGACCCAACATGATGTCCGCACAACAGAAGTCGGCCCTCGGCAATCTGGCCAATCTGGTGGAGTGCAAGCGGGAGCCCGACCACGACTTCCCCGACCTAGGCTCGTTGGACAAGGACGGGGGCAATGGCCAGTTTCCCGGCTTTCCCGATCTCCTGGGCGATGACAACTCGGAGAACAACGACACCTTCAAGGATCTCATCAACAATTTGCAGGACTTCAATCCCAGCTTCCTCGACGGCTTCGACGAGAAGCCGCTACTGGACATCAAGACGGAGGACGGCATCAAGGTGGAGCCCCCGAATGCCCAGGACCTCATCAACAGCCTGAATGTGAAGTCTGAGGGCGGTCTGGGGCATGGCTTTGGGGGCTTTGGCGTCGGAATGGGCATGGATAATCAGGCCATGAAGATGCGCGGCGCCGGTGTTGGTGTTGGTGGCGGCGGCTTCCCCAATGGCCCCAACGGTGGCGTGGTTGGTGCAGGAGGCGGAGGCGGCGGAGGACAAGCTTCTGGTGGCGGAAATCTCATGTCGGAGCATCCGCTGGCCGCCCAGACACTCAAGCAGATGGCCGAGCAGCATCAGCACAAGAGTGCCATGGGCGGCATGGGTGGCTTTCCCCGTCCCCCGCATGGCATGCAGCCGCAGCAGCAGCAACAGGCCCAGCAACAGCAGCAGCAGGCCCAACAGCAGCAGCAGCAGCATGGCCAGATGATGGGGGGCCCTGGTCAGGGTCAGCCCGGCCGCTACAACGACTATGGGGGTGGATTTCCCAACGACTTTGGCCTGGGTCCCAATGCCCCACAACAACAGCAGCAGCAGCAGCCTCAGCAGCAGCATCTGCCGCCGCAGTTCCACCAGAAGGGTCCTGGGCCAGGCGCCGGTCCCGGTCCGGGCATGAATGTCCAGCAGAACTACCTGGACATCAAGCAGGAGCTCTTCTATTCCTCTCAAAACGATTTCGATCTCAAGCGCCTGCAGCAGCAGCAGGCCATGCAGCAGCAACAGCAGCAGCAGCAGCAACAACATCACCAGCAACAGCAGCAGCAGCACCCCAACCCGAATGGCCCCAAAATGGGGGGTGTGCCCAACTTCAGCAAGCAGCAGCAGCAGCAACAGGTGCCACAACAACAGCAGCAATTGCAGCAGCAGCAGCAGTACTCGCCTTTCAGCAATCAAAATGCAAATGCTGCAGCCGCCGCCGCTGCCGCCGCCAACTTCCTCAACTGTCCGCCTCGTGGCGGTCCCAATGGCAACCAGCAGCAGCAGCAGCAGCCCGGAAATCTGCCCCAGCAGCAACAGCAGAATCAGCAGCAGCAGCAGGGTGGCGGCCCACAGGGTGGTCCCCAGCAGCAGCAGCAGCGTGGCGGCAATGGACAGCAGCAGAACAATCCCAATGCCGGGCCCGGTGGCAATGCGGCGCAGCAGCAGGCGACCACAACAACGCTGCAGATGAAGCAGACGCAGCAGCTGCACATCAGCCAGCAGGGTGGAGGAGCGCACGGCATTCAGGTGAGTCGAGATCCACGACATCAATCAAGTTTTCCTAGTACTACGCGTAGGCGTAATAAGGGGTATCCCCACGGTTAATTGGCACTCTGACGGACTTTGCCCCAAGGCCCAGATGGCAGCCGATTCCATCCCATGCCATCCCGTAATATAACGCCACTTAATACCATTGACACGTATGTAAATTTCCATGAATATTTGAATTATCAGCGTAACGAAGTCAACGGCTTTTCCACAAAGTTCCGAAACGAGGCAGCGACACACGACACACGCACCGAGAGAGTGAGAGAGAGAGAGAGAAATGCTTGTTCGGGGTTGGTTGCTCTCAGAGCTTTGAGTGAATCGAATACTCACTCAACTCTCCCTCCCTCTCTCAATCTCTCTTTTAATTTGGAGTTTTTCACTCAGTTTTCACTGTGGCTGCGGATCATAAATCATGTTGGGCAAACAAGCCACGCAAACGAACCTTTTGACTTCCTCCCTACCACCCTCCCACTCACTCGCTCACTATCTCTCTCTCTCGCTCTCTGTCTATTTGTTTGCTCTCTTTCTGGCTGTGCTCTCACACTGCCATTGGACATTTAACCCTCCTTAGCCCCTTGCTCCAAGCACAACTTTATCTCTGTCCATTAATTTCACCACACACATCTGTTCAGAAAATTGCCCGGCAGCTCTCGGCATTCGGCTTCAGTTCGTCCTTTCCACAACGAGTGGCGTATGGTGTCGGCCGTCTCGTCAGTGTGAAATGCTCTCGCTCGTTCACCCTCAATATCCGTTGAGTGCACCATTTTCATTACGTGAGCCATGGGCAGAGCTGTAAGAGATGAAGCGACCAAAAAAGGCGATGAATGAAAATGAATCGCTGTGGCTGCTTCTGCTTTTGCTGGCCATATCCCTGTTGGCGCTGTTGGCTGGCTAAGTTCAGTTGTGTCCTCTTTCTGTACTGTACTGCACAGATCCTCTGTGTGGGCAACTCCAAGAGAGAGCAGGAGGAAAACCATTTCATTGATGAGCTGTCTGACCATTTTTTCTACTTGTGAAAGAATTTCATTAACTAATATGCAGAAAGTATATTGCAGTATATTAAATTGTGCATAGTTTATTATTACATAGCAAAAGTACAATAGGAATCATAAATGTAATTCATTTACATACATATGTACATAAATATACCGAATTGTATAATCATGCATTCATTCAGTCGCTCCCCTGTGGGCCAGTCCCTGTTAAGCGGCTGTCATGTGGAGGAGCAGCAGCAGCAGCAGCCTAAAGGGGTGCTCACCTCTCACAAAAGCAATATTCCCTAGCCACATGCACTCACACACACACCACACACATACACACTGAGGCACAACCTAACCCATATTCATTATCCGCACCAAATTATTTTCCTGCTACAACAACAGCAACAACTACATTTCATTTACAAAATGAAAGTGCAAAACTTTTTAAGTTAAGTTCCATGTCGCTGAGTAGTTTTCATCAGAGAAGCAGCCAAAAAATACGAAAAGGGAAAAGAAGAGAGAGAGAATGGAGAGAGAGAGAGGAAGGCGAACGCTGTTTGGTTTGTTGGCGAAAAAGGACACGGCTCTGGCAGAAGGGTTCGGTTTTCGTTTTTCGGCCACGGCAACGGTCCAAGCAAGCCCATTCCGAGCACAATTCAGCTCAAGTTTTGCCATGAATTTTGTTCATGCATTAACCCTCAGCAGTACCCCAGCCCCTGCCACCCTGCCACCCTGCCACAGTTTATCCCCACCACCGTCTAACCTCTGTGCATATAAAAATAGTTGAAGCAAGTTGAGAGTGGCCAAAAGAAGAAGTAGATGGAGGGACGAGAGACGAGACGAGACCCGCTAGGGAGACAGGAGAAACTTGTTGACGATTGAGATTGAAATTTGTTCGGGGTGTGGGCGGCGGGCGGGTTTATTATAAGCTTTTTTTTTTTTTCTACTGCCCACTGGATATGGTGGAGCAGCAGCTCCCTCTCAAGCCCGAGGACATTAGCATCTAGTTTCAGTTGAACCTTTGAGGAGTTTTGGTTCCTTTGAGGCTGTTTGGCTTCCCAGCTGCTGGGGGGCCATAATCAAAGGGGAATAAATCCTTTGGCACATCTTCAGCTGCTTATCAGGTCCAAGACACAAGCCAACACAACACGTATACACACTCAAGTCTAACGATATATTTGCATAGGACTCATTAAAAATGTACCCAAAAAGCGGCAGGGACTACGACGAATACAGTAGCGAGAGGGTTGCAAAAAGCCAAAAACAGCATCGGATTCAACGAGTTGTGCTCCTTTTCTTCCCCCCTTTGCCCACTAATAATAATAATAATAATAATAATGGAGAAGGTGGAGAAGAATGGCATGGCATGGAATGGGGTGGAAGTGATTACCACTTAAGTGCATGAAATGAACAGGCAAAGTGTAAAATGTACACGAAAATATATGACAAAAAGAATGGGAGAATGAGACGAATGGGAGATTTCGAAGTAGAGAAGACTGGAGGAGATGGAAGAAAAGAATTTGCAATCAAAATAAACGGAGGATCTGCAAGGAGGAGCACACAATATCCAGAGATACATAGAGATACTCTCGTACCATTGAAATGGTAACCAGAAATACACATATGTACCTTCCATTGTCAGAGGAATGCTTCAGAGCATTCTGAATACTTTTTCTAGCGGCAGTTGCCTTATGAAACGCAGTCAAAGTGAACCCAACAGCAGCCAGGATAGGACAGGACAGGACAGGACAGGACAGGACGAAAGTTCAATGAATTCAAAAATGTTGGCCATTTTGCATGTCCCTGCATTAACTCGTTAAAATGCCAGCAACAATCCGCAATCAACAAAAACAACAACAGCAACAGCAGCCACGAGAACTGTAGTTCTAGCAGCCAACAACCAACAAATTTGTATAAAATATTGTGCTATAAAAATGGGTGAGGGGTGGGTAGAAATGGGGTGGATGGAGATGGAGAGATCCCTGACCAAAAGCGTCATCAAAATGCCAGAGCGCACAAAAGTATGCAGCGGAAATGTGCAAAACGTGAAAATGTGCGGAAATTATACTTGCCAGAATGGCTGCCTGGGTGGGGCAGGGTACCAGGAAGGAGTACCAAACAGAGAGAGAGATAGAGAGAGAGTAATATCAGATTTTATGACCTGCCCTGGGCGACTTAATGAAGTAGCGCGAACACGAGTAACACATGCGGCCAACCCTCACTCCGACCCCACATATCCCATCGCCAAATGGCAGTTCCAAGCCAACAGCAACAGCGAAACTCCACTTCCAGTTCGAAATCGAAATCATGTTGTATCAAAAAACAATAAATAATTTATAACCTCGAAACGCAAACAAAAGAGAAAGAGAGAGAGAGAGAGATAGATCTAGGCAGCGGCAGCGGCACCGGCAGCAGACAATGCGCACGCGTCAAGGCAATAAAAACATCCTGGAAAGTCACTTTTGATGGACGTTGGGAGGGGGGTGGGCAACAAAGATGCTCTGTAAAGTCTTCACATAACTTCACATCGTTTTTTTTTGTTCTTTCTCTTTCGATTATTTCCATGCCCATTGGCTATGGCTACAACTCTGTGCGAGTATTACGGGATTAACCTCTATAAATTTAGTCCCCTTCCCCATTTCGCTTAGAGAGCGGCGAACCTATTTATGAGCACGAACTTTTATGGCCAACTAACAGGAGAACACTGAGAGAAAACAAGGAGAAATGCTCATGGAGGGAATTGTGTGCTGCCAGTGGGGTGTTTGGTGGGGTTTTTCTCAAGTACTTTCTCCTCTTTATCCTTTATCCTTTTTCATGAATTCATAATTCAACGAATTGTTGCCATGTATTCCCTGTTTGGATACACATCCCCTTCGCTCTTCGCCCCATCAAACGATTTGAACTCATCGCTTGCCTACCCCCCACTTTGTCTCTCTTTTTATCTCTCTCTCTCTGTTTGTCTTTGTTTCTGATTCAGTTTCTGATTCAGTTTCTGGTTTCATTTTTATTTTTAGGCCCCTGCCATTACCTAACGCATTTGATGCTCTCAAAGGTCACATTATTTACCTTTTATATTCCCATTCGTGTCAGTTACCGGTGGCGGGGTAGGCGGATAGGTATGGGAAGAGGGGGGGCGGTACGTTAAAGCCGCTGATTCTGTTTGGCGCATCGAAATGTTTGCTCAAAAATGTTTCCCTCTCTGGTTCGCTCTCTCTCCTCTCGCTGTGTTTTTTTTTGTTTTTGTTGGATATTTCGTAATATTTTCATTTGATATTCTTTCGTTGTTTTTCGCTGCGTTTCCCATCCATTTGCAGGTGTTCGCAAAGGAGCTGAAGGAATGGGCTGAGGTTTGGGGGCAAACAGTTGATGATGAACTTTGACCGCGTTATTTTGGGGTTACGTTTAGTGGCTCTCTACTTAGTTTTTTGTTTCTTTTTCTCTATTCATTGATTACATCCCGCTTTGGGCTTTAGAAGTTTTTGATCATTCAAAAGTTCATTTTGATTTCCTTTTGCCTCTCTCTTTTGTTTGTTTTGTGAATTTTTCCAACAACAAACCTTTGGGCCGTATTTTGATCCTCTCTGGGTAAGCTCTAGCTGTTAAAGCTTGTGAGCTTTTTGCTTAAGCTTTCCATGTATTAGTCTGTATTCGAGTTTCCTGTTTGATTGCGGGGATTATCTGGCCAGCTTATGGCAGCCATGTCCTTCAGGCTTATTCACACTTTGCCAGCATTTTACTCTCGTATTTCCGTTTCCTGTGCTGCGTCTCGCTGTGTCTGCGTCTTCCTGTCTTTAGCTACCTTGCCTGCTGCCGCCTGGCCACTTTTCCGCAGTGATTGCTCTCCTTTTGGTATGCCTCAACCATTCTCCTCAACTGCTACGTCGATTTTTGCTTTTTCCTGGCATAACATTTAATATTTGCGCGTGTGCTTCCAACCCAATCCCCTTCCAATCCCCCACTACCACATGTACATATGGGTGTGTGCGTGTGTGTTTCCCA